ATTGTTGTATGGTCATCCTTTCCATAAAACATTATATCAAGTTCAACTACAGTTTAGAAATATGTCTGCCATATTTTGGAAGTAAGAAATATTTACATTTAGAAAATGTGCTGAGGTGGAATCTTGCTTTAGAAATAAAATCATGACAACAATGAATCATGGAACACTTTATCTAGAACTAATGATGTAATGTATGGGAATTAACATAAGAATAAAAAAAAAAAGGAAAGAAAAAAAAAAAAGAAATAAAATCATGACAGAGCACTTGGCTTTGTGACCTGTTCCACACTGGGTGTTTTCCGAAAAGACATTTTTCTGACTTTGACCATATTTTCGAGCAACGCAGTGATCCCAGCACTATTGTATCAAACCATTGACCTTTATTTCCAAATTCTTACTCTATGAAGATCTTAGGATCATATATATAATTTATTACTTCAGAGTTCTAGACAATTATTTGTTTAATGGGAAATGAAGAGAGACCTGCTATTTGTTAATGTTGTAAGAACATACCCTTTTATAAACCACTGAATTCCAAACTTAAAATTTCCTGAACAGCTGGTTAGAAGAATGGTTCAAAATAATGAACCCTTTTGAAATACCTGTTAATACTAATCTGTGCATATTTCTAAGAATTCTTTCACTGATAATAGAAGTGGTGAAATGAGAAGAAAATCCCAGATTGCATTAATTACATTGACTATTCCTCATTGTTTTCTATATCTGACTTCTTAAAGCTATTATTTTACTCCATAGAAACACAGAAAGGTGACTATGCAATCCTTCTGTGACTGACTACAGGCATGTGAATAATTGGTCTGGAAAGGAAGAGCAGTTTATCTTATATTGTACTACTTTGCTTTTTAAAAAATGCTTTAAACATGGACTCTCCATAAAAAGTAAAATTCAGGAAGGTATAATGAGTTTTGTAACTGGGCAAATTTAATTGGTTGATTGATTTAGTTACCTTGTTTTTAAAAACTGCAGAAGAAAAGTACATGTTTCAAGATCAAGAAAATAGATTTGTAGTCACACATCTCTCATGATTTAAGAAAATAGGAAGTGGACGTAAGTGTATACTTACGTATGTATGTATCTGTATACATCTGTATATATACATAAGTATACATAAGTGGACATAAGTTAGATCTATGTGTAGTATATTATAAAAAATAATAATATAAATCTTTTCCCTAAGAACCTCAGAACTCTTCTTATAAAAGACATTCTTATCCTTGGCATATAATCATTTTCATGATAACAGCTTGTATTTTTTAGTGTTCTATTTTCTTTCAAAGTGCTTCCTTCTATGTTTTTTCTGCTTTATAGGATTTATTCTGTTCTACAAAGAAGGACTATTTTGGGTGGATTAGCAATTATTTTCTCATCAGCAAACAAAAGAAAACAGTTGATATTTAGGCTGCAATGGATTCTATGTCCAGCTATACCATTAACTCTGGAGATTTGGGAGAATTCACTGAACTTCTTTGGATTTTCGTTTAGTCATCTGCACAATGAATTGCCACTAAGCCCCAGAGACAAGTTACTTCTAGTACAATGATTTTGTGATGTTAATATTTATAATGCTTTCTAATAGAAATGGTCATTTGAAAAGTTCGTTTTCCCTTCCTTTTTCACAGACCACTTTAGCCTTATGGCATGGTCTTTCACAGTATGATTTCCATACTTAAATGTATGCAAATTTCCCCTTATTTTTCCATAGGTATTTTATTTTATTTATTTTCTTTTTTTTTTAAGATTTTATTTATTCATTTGAGACACACACACACAGAGAATGAGCAGGGGGAGAAACAGAGGGAGAGGGAGAAGCAGGCTCCCCGCCGAGCCAGGAGCCTGATGTGGGGCTCGATCCCAGGACCCTGGGATCATGACCTGAGCTGAAGGCAGACACTCAACCATCTGAGCCACCCAGGCGCCCCTCCATAGGTATTTTATGACAAGGGCATCTTTACTTGTTCTTGTGTGTCACCTCTCTCTTTAAAGTTTCCCTAAACTCATTTCATACTGTTCTCCAACCTCAGTTACATTCAAGCCAATTACATTCAAGCCTTCTGAAATGGCACAGTAGGAGGTCAGGGGACCAATGTCCCTGTCTTCTTCCTCACCTATCCCTAAGAAAGGGGATGTCTATGGCTCAGTCGGTAGAGCAACTGACTCTTGGTTTCAGTTCAAGTCATGATCTCGGGGTCATGAGATCGAGCCCCATGCAGGGTTCTGTGTTCAGCACAAAGTCTGCTTGAGATTCTCTCTCTCCTTCTCTCTCTGCCTCTGCCTCTACCCACCCCCAACTCTCTCTCTCTCTCTAAAATAAATAAATAAATCTTAAAAGGGGGGGCTGTCTTATCAACCTTAAAAAGTTATATCAGATGTCGTCAGCATCAAGATAGGAGCAGATAGATACATTGCCTTAGAGTACACTGGGCAGGAAACATCACTTGTTTATGAGGTGAAGAAAGGATAGATGTTGACTTAGAAGGTTAAGAAACAATATGGACACAGCTTATTAACTCAAGGTAGTTTTCTACTCTATGACTACCTGTGTAGGCAAAGTTACTGATGGGAAAGAGAGAGAAATTAAAATGTAGTGTCTTTTCTGTGATCAAAATGAAAGTCCACAAGGCAATAGAATCCAAATCTCTTAATAATCAGGCCACTGATTTCCTGACCATTAATCTTGGGCATTTGCCAGTAGGATGAAAATGATAAAAGTCAAATATTTGAAAAGTAAATGCCATCTGTAAATTTTAGCAAAAATAAACTGCTGACTTTCTGTTGAGATAAATAAAAGAATGACATCTTTTATGAACAGAATGCACAAAATGAAATTTTTATTTTAATGTGGAAAAATTTAGGGAGTCATGTTCAGTAAAATCTATATAGTGATCATTCGCAAGAAAGTAGTAGTATAGTTAATATAAACTGAATTCATCTGTGTAGATAGGTAATCCATGGGGGAAAATAGAGATATATTTTCTTTATCATGTGAAAAACTTTCAGTAGCATGTGAGAATGTGTTTTTATCAGAATCAACTGGAGGGATGTACTTTTGTATGGATATGAGGTTTTGAATGACAGGCGAATTTCACAAATAACTGACATTTGTTATATACACATCAACGTTGTACAATCATCGCGTGCATATATCACAACTTCATATTCCTGTATACTTTGTATTTATGGTAAGTAAAATATATTTACAATTTTAATTGAAATATGTGAAAATGTTTATTTGAATACGAAGTCCCTATGGAAAACCAGATACTCATGGAACCAAAACAAAGGATTTTTAATTTTTTCTGGATCACAGAAGTTGTGCTCATCTTTGGTTGTGTACATAAACCTTAAAAGAAACTAAAAATAGAAAAAGCAAACAAGGGGCGCCTGGGTGGCTCAGTCGGTTAAGCGGCTGCCTTTGGCTCAGGTCATGATCCTGGGGTCCTGGGATCGAGCCCCACGTCTGGCTCCCTGCTCAGCGGAGAGCCTGCTTCTCCCTCTCCCTCTGCCTGCCACTCTGCCTACTTGTGCTATCTATCTGTCAAATACATAAATTAATTTAAAAAAAAAAGAAAAGAAAAAGAAAACAATTCTGTAAGATGGCTCGATGTGGGAGCTGGCGGAGGAGGTAGGAAGAACAGGAAAGGGAAGAAACAGCTTGGTTATCTGTCACCTGGGATTGTTTGGGTCTTGGTGTACAGTGTACAGTGATTAAATCAGACCGGTCCAAATAACAAAGTACCCCGAAGAGCCAGCCCTACTCTATGAGTTCCAGAAACTACCAGTCCTAAGGTGAAAGGCAGGGGGTGCATGAATGAGTAATGAATATACATAATACATCCATGCAGGCATACATGTATGGATGTATCTGTATGTAGATAGGTACCATACCCCCATTGGTCCCAGAAAGAGCCCTTGCACATGATTCTGGAATTAGAGTTCTTTAAGAGTGAATAGTAAACCATCAAGCAGAGTGATAACATCAAAGAATACTAGATTAGAGAAGAAAATCTAGTTTTGAGACCAGCTTTGGCTTATATAACTGAAGAGCCCTGAAGAGTCCCTGTCTTCCTTTCATATAAGGAAACATTTAGACAGGTTTCCATATGCTTAAAAGGAGCTGGTTAGATTAGGTTAGACTGTATGATCTTTAAGACCTTCTGTTTCTAACAACTGTTATTCTGTGATCATGCAATCAGTCTTTTGCTCTGTTTCCAAGCATGTAATTCCTGTTACCCTGTATTTTTGTCAGGTAGATGGCTTAAATGGGAAAATAACAGACCATCTGAAATGGGTGACTGACAAAGCTTTTTCTAACGGTGCTATTATTTCTCTCTCATGTAACACATGTCTCTGTGAATAAAAGAAATAAACCCACAGTCTAATTCTCATGGCAATGGCTTATTTTAGCTAGATCTCTCTCCTCGAGTGTTAAGGGGTGGAGAGAGAAGCAAAGAGCAATTTTTAGACTTGCTAAAGTTTTAGTCCACCCATCAAATCTGCCTCTAATTAATTGTGTGATCATGGGAAAGTTTTCTAACCACTGTGACTCTCTATGTTCTTATCTATAAATTTCAGAAAAGAATAGCACCTACCTCATGAGGTTGTTAGAGAAGTAAATGAGATCATGCTCTTACAGCATTTAGCCTAAATTCAACAGACGGTGCCTCAGGAATGTTCATTATTAACATTATGAAGCTCTTAATAACTATTTTTCATCAGAATAATCACAGGAGTAGGAGTGGAGACAATGTTTTTGTTTGACATGCGCATAAGCATATGCTCCTGTATGGGCATTTTGTAGCTTTGCTTGAAAGCTTGAAGAGAAGAGGGTGACTGTGGGACATTGAAAACACAGTACTGTGAAATGTTGCAGTCTGTTTTATGAGAGCAGATATTTAAAATGCCTTTACTGTTCATAAGGTGATGCTATTTGCTCTTCAAAGCCCGAAACACGTATCTGAGCATGCTACGTTTGTTTTCAGTGACTGTTGGCCCTGATAAGCCTGCGAGTGGATTTGCAGAAGACGGTGGTGCCCAGAGCGAGGGCGTGTCCGACCTCCAGGAAGTGGTGTCCTTGAAGGAGCGGATGGAGAGGTACCAGGCAGCTGTCTCCAGGGGTGACTGCCGCAGCTTCTCCGCCAATGTAAGCTGCCCCCGGTGGTTCTGCACGGGGCAGTGGGCTTTTGGTCTGCCCTTCACATACCCTCCTTCCATCGCGATACAGGAATACCACTGGGAAGTGGGATAAAGTGGAGAAAGCACAGACATAGTGTGAATCAAAGTCAGAGGTTACTTGCTGTGTGAATTTGGGCTACTATCTTAACCCCGCTCTGAGCTTCAGTTTCCTTAACTGTAAAATGGGAGTAGCCATCCACCACAGAGGATCTTAGAGAGAAGTCAAAGAGGTAATTTACGTGGAAGCCATAAGGCAGGGTATAAATGTGTTATTATTGCCATCATTATCATTTAACCTATGGCTATTCTCCTCAGGAAGGTTGGGAATTAATTTCAGATTTTAATAATGTGGGTCTGCATGCCGCCCTCCTCGGTCTCATGTCTAGTTCATTTAAATTCACTGGAAGTATCTTTTTTTTTTTTGCTTTTCTCATTTCTCTGTACGCTCTAAATCCATTAGGAGTAGCTTAATCAACATAGAAATGAGGGAGATTAGCAATGTAGGCACTCTGCTAAACCAATTATGATTATAGGAAACAGCAGGATTCAGTAGGACCACCAATTTTTGGAGCCAAAGCATAATAAAGTCATATTCAAAAGAATTTGTTGGGTTCCATCATCTGTGGCCTTCAATCCACAGGGTTTGATGAGTCATTTTATTAGTAGCAGCTTTATAGTTTAATGGAATATAAGGATACTCTTTTATAATTATAATCTCCAAATTAGCAAAGTTGTTCATTTAACCAAAAGAGAAAGAGAAAGAATAGCCAAGAAGGGTGGTGTTCTAAAATAGCTAACTCTTAACATTCTTCTTTACAAATTATTTAGAGACAAGGCTGACTGTGCCAAGCTCATTAACAATATTGTAATTCCAAATGACATTTAAGTTTTTACATAGTCATTAAAATCCATTTTAGATGCAGCATGGATTTTGAATGAATGTACAGAAATCACAGAAGCAGCTCAAGCTCTTCCAAAATAAATAGTATCACTCCAGGGCCTCCTGCCAGTCTTCTTAGATAGCACCCCCTGCTGGATCATTAAGGAACTTCACTACAAATTAGTGTTCGAAATTGGAAAAAAGATTCTTGGGGAAACAAACGGATTTTGAAAGCATTGAGTGAGAGACGGGTTATTTAGTAAACAGTTTTTTTTTTTAATTTAGGAAGACTTTTATCTTTACAGACACTAGGAGAATACACAATAAGACAAATTGGTATGTATAATGTGCTAAAAAGAGAATATTTAAGCACTAAGAAAACTTAATTATCCCATTATTTAATACAAAAACAAAACAATGTTAATGCTATTATGAAGGTAGCCTACACATAAAGAATTTAATAATCCTTCTCTTCTCTGCCCATTTACAGGCAAAACAAACTGAGGGGAAGTGATTTATGGGAGATCATGCATTAGTGACAAACCAGACTAAATTCCTGGTCTCTGGACTCCTGTGCTCTTTTAACTGAATTCAGCTGCCTCTCATATAAGAAAGAATCTGTGGCCCAACAAATGCCCTATTATTTGGTTTGGCCCTAAGTTAATATTGTGCAGGGGCGGGGGGGAAGGGGGAGAAAGAGCACAAATATTATCTCAGATAAATCCTGGTAAATAGCTAAAGAAAAACAAAATAACTGCCTTACTGCCTTATCTGGTCAGATGCATCAAATGTCTGTTCACTTACAAAATCATGGAAACTGCCTTTAGCAACCTTTCTGTCTACACAAAGAACCCAAGTATTTTATGTGCAAAATCTGGAGGTCTCTGATTCGGCCCCAAACTGAATCCATTATATTTCAGTCACATTGAGATCAGTTTCGCCTGGTCCTGGCCTCAGCCGGATGGCATTTGGTTGAACCTAAATAAAAGTCATGGCCGTGGAAAGGCGGTGGTCTGCAGGAGAGTCCTAGAAGAGAAGGGGGAGGTAACATTTGTTAAGCAATGAATTAAAATGCCAGATTCTGTGCTGTGCAATTTTATTTCCTTTATCTTTTTTAACGCAAGAAATACAGGGAAAATATATTGTTATTCCCAGTTTATAAGAAATAAAACTTGAACTCTATTCCAAGGTTTTAAGTGTCAGAACTGGGATTAGAATCAGTATTTGTCCAACTTCCCAAATTATGTTATTTCTACTATGTGCAAGGACCCAAGGACAGTTCTTCGTAAAGAAAATAGATAATTGTGTAATATATTAACCTGGCTAAGTGTTAGGTAGTTAAATTACCTTATTATTAAAACAACTCAATATTAAGTAGGTTCTATGTTAACTTGTTAATAAAATGACTTAATTATTATGGACATACCCGTTAGATTCCAAATCTTACTTCTGAGTCCAAGAATAAGGAACAATGAATAAGGTTAAACATAAAAATGTTTAACACAAAGCAACCTGTTAGGTGGTCATTTACAATAGCACAGATTAGTTGACCTTATAGCATACGGGGCTAAACAAGGCAAAGTCCCAGGCATGGTCTCCATCAGAGCAAGGAAACATCACTCCAGCTCATGCCCACAGACTGCTCCTTGAGCAATACCACATATATAAACCTTCATTTACAAGCTGAGCTGAAGAAAGAAACCATATCACCACCACTAAACTACAATTCAAAGGACTTCCTCACTTAGGTGGGTGAGCAGCAGTAACAGTAGGACTACTGACAAGATTCATTAACTATATGTATTTTTACACATGTAATATGGTCTGATTCCAAAGCGCAATGCTGAAGGAAAGGAATGGGTATATTTGGTTTTTTTATAACATTTGGTAGATGAGAGGCAACATGTTCAGTATAGGAAACGATATTTTTGTGAAAATGCACTTACTAGGAAAGTATTCAGTCATTAGCATAATTATTGAGGCTTACTAGATTAATTTGCGCATGATTTGGACATTGTTTATAGTTGTTGGAAAGAGTAGGCTTCTTCTTAACAATAATTGCCTTAATTTCCATAATTTAATACTCATATATTATCTATGTTTGATCAATCCAAGGAAGGCCACTTATGTACATTAAATGTCAGGGGGGGGTATAAGAAATATTGTGGCCTTATTTCAGCCTTTCCCTTTTTTACCTTAAATTTCAAAATAGATGCCACACTTTCTCATGACTTTAACATGTATCAAACGGCAGTAACTGACCAGGATTTACATTTGAAGTTTGCTGCGGAATTTGGTAGAATATATATATCTAAAACATATAAGTATACATTCTTACCCCATGCAGCAAATATACATATTCTTAGATATCAGACAGTGCATGGAATTGGGGAAAGGTTATGAATCTGATAAAGCAACCACATGAATTTGCTAGTAATCCACATAATCCCGATTATTAATTCATTCTCCAATATTGTGGGAAACCCCAAGATTATAACTGTATTTTTAGGATCTGCTTGAGAAACTACATATTGGGTCATGATTTCAGGATTCCCGGAGTCCACAGTCCATGTTAGGGGAACTTCAGCTCATGGGCATCCAGTTTCTTCCAGGTCTCTAGGCTTCAGGGTTATATCAGGACTGGGCCAGACCTCAGGAGACCTCCTGTGATTTGAAGAGTTGCTGAATCTCTTCCCAGTCTTAAGCAGTCCTAGAAGCTTCCTGGAGGAGGGCTGGTTGGCATGGGGCCTGTTTGCTTGAGAGTTGTCATCCCATCTGGGCTTGAGTGCCTTCTGGGCTGGGGAGTCTGTTGAATCATCAAAACCAAAGCCCTTAAGTTACTGCACTTCCCACAGGGGCATAAGATCTGACAAGGCTCCTCAGTGTTTTTCAAGTTGCTCCAAATGATGCCTACTGAATTAGGCTTTCTGTTCTGCAAAATGCCAACAATAGCCTAGAATCCTTCTAACCCTAAACCTTCTAAGCTAAGTCCTGGGCTATGCCAACCCCAGAGTAGTTGTTTTTCTGCCTGTCCTAATTTAGTACTAGTGATTAAGACAGACTGCAGCCATTAAAACAGATATGGGTTCAAATACCAGCTTCTTACTCACACCCCAGCTCTGAGAACTTAACAAACTGCCTTACTTACTCAAACCTCAATTTCCCCATTTTAAAATGAGAATAAATGCCCATATCTCACAGAATATGGAGAAATATCAAATGACAAGATATGTGTAAGCACATAGAAATCATTTAGCACGAGTATTAAGTAGTTGTTATTATTACTGATATTGACATTTTTGCTTAAGAGAGGCTTATTTTATTCATCTTTAGTGATTTAAATACATTTTGGAATTAGTCAAATGTTTTTAATATTCTTAATAATGTGTTGCTTATGTAGACATTTGGGATTTTAATGACAACCTTACTGTGAGTTAAAATTGAATCCGTTATTCTAATTTCTACTAGTCTGTGTATTATTAGAGAAATGCATCCTGCAGGTCTAATCTCCAGATATCCAAATCTATCTGAGATAAGGAGAATTAACTCAATATTTTGAAGTTCCTTCTGACTTTATATCAAACACTGATAAATGAGAAAACAACATGGAGAGTTTTTTTTTTTTTAAGGTTTTCTGTGAGGGCCTACTGAAATAATTGCTTATGTTCATATTTTTTTAATATACCATCCATCAATAATTGTCAACTATAAAAAATAATAGCTTGTAAATCCCATCTTGAACAGATATAAAGCTGAATTTTCCTTTTTCTTAAATTGTCTTAGGTGATGGAGGAATCCAGAATGTGCACAGTGCCTGGTGGTTTGGCCAGAGTGAAGAAACAATTTGAGAAGGACAAATTTGCTTCTTCTTGTAACACCTTGTCTCAGTACCACAACAGATCTGAGCAGGTAATGCATAAATCACATATGGTCGAAGTGCTCTAATTTCAGTGCCAATGCAGAAAGCCCCCTGTTCAGTGGTACATTTATTTTCATCACTCATTAACAAATACTGTAATTTTAAGATGCTTTAGAAAATCATCTTTAAAGCATATCAATGTATTGATTTACTTACTTGGAGCATTTTGTCATGTTTCTAGGGAACCGTGCTGGAATATTTTTCTTCTCAGCTTCTAATGTTTCAAACATAAATGAAAATTGAATAGCCTGGGTTAGTCAACAGGTAAATAGAAATGTTGAGAGGCACGTTTGTATTGAGCCTCTGCTCCTAGGTTGTAATTCATGATAAACTATCTGCTGGTTGTTTGCACAGATCCAATGTGAAGCATTATCTAGCTGATCATTGTGGTGAGTTTTCTGTTTTCTTTAAAATCATCAAAAATTGAGTAGTAGAACCCAGATGCTACATAAAACTGCATAATGCAATTTCTACATTTTATCTTATATAAAAGATTTTTTCCCCCATTTCATTCCTCCATTATCATATATCACCAAATATTGTCATGGGTTATAATGATTTTTGAATGTGAGAATCTTCAGTAATAAAACCCATTAGACTGAACTTGGCACTTTGAAAAATAGTAATTGCACTTGAAACAGCTGTATTTAGGTCCATGTTTTCCATGAGGAAGAGAGTAACTGGGGTACTTCTAAAATTTTGTAGTGGAAAATAGAAGGTAGTTTTTTGTTTGGTTGGTTTTTGTTTTAAGAAAAATCCCTAGGATATTTGGAGTTATCTAAGTTTTAAAAATTAAGGCAATTGTGTGGTATCGCATGGGTGGGGGGGAAGTATATCAGATAGATTAAAAATCTGATCTGTGAAATAGTATTTGTTTTCTTTTCCTGGCTTTGTCTGAGAAGTAAAAATTGTACAATATAAATAGCTCAATGAATTAGTGGTAAGATTTATTTTAACTTTGCCTGAAGGAAACAAAATGTGAATAAGAAATTAAGACTGGATATACTTGTGGTCTAATATATAGCTGTTGCAACAACGTAGGAGTCTTTAGGTGAGTCAGTTGTGTGATTGCTTGGAAGTGGTCAACAATACAAAATGTTGTTAGGATCGTTGATAACTTAAGTAACGAGGCCCACATAGAGATCTATGTATGTACAGATCCTTTGTTTTGCGGGGAAACATTGTGATAGAGTGTAAGGGCTATGGGGCTTCTAGGTCTGAGTTCAGAGGCCGCCTCTGCCACCTACCAGCCGAGTGACACAGACGCAAGGCCACCGTCATGGCGCATGGCCCTGGGTGGTCACTCAGGGCCCCATTCTCAGAAGGGCCCGGCACTTAGCTTAATGCTTTGCTATCATCTTGAAATCCTTAATAATTTTGGAACAAGGGACCCGGGCCTGGCATTCTCATTTTGCACCAGGTCTGGAAAATTATGTAGTCAGTGCGACATAGACCGAATTCATCGACCCTCAACTCTCAGTTTCTGATTAAGATGGGGCAACTGACGAGGGATTTGCCCACCTCATGAGGTTACTGTGGAGGTCTAATATGACAGAGTGGTTTCCGTGAAAGTATTTCATTACCCATGAAACTTGAGGTCAGTTAGGACTCCTTAATATTGCAAGAGACAGAAAGCCCAACCAAAAGTGGCTTAAGCCAAAAGGAACATCATAGATTCACAAACATGCAGTCTTGTGGAAGGGAGATCTGGTGTCAGCTCCAGTGGTTTCCTGAAGGAGCCGACTTGGGCCAACCAATGTTTAGGAATGTTGCAAACCAGGTAATGTCAAGTTAATAGCTTGAAATCCGCCACAGCGAGAATATTTGAAATAGAGAAATTGGCAAATACAACAAATCAGGGGTATTCTTTCTTTCTCTCTTTTTTCCTTCCTTTCCTTCTCTCCTTTTTTCCCCTTTTTTTTCCTTGAGAACCCATTGTTAAATATGTATTTCCTTACCATTAATGTAAGGGCTCAACATATGTCCCTAGCATAGTAGCTAAGAGCAGAAAAATGAGCCAGATCACTTGCGTCCAAATCCCTACTCCTTCATCTATTAGTTGTGTGACATTAGGCAAGTTCCTTAGCTTATCTGTGCCTCAGTTTCCTCAATTATAAAGTCAAGATTATAATAGTACCTACCTCATAAGTTTGTTAAAAGGACTAAATGGATTATATTTGTAAAGTGCTTAAGACCATGCCTGGCCCATTTTAAACACTACACAGTGTGTATTTAAAAAAAAAACAAAACAATAATAAGTATCACCTTGAACATATTTCTTTTTTTTTTTTTTTTTAACCTCACTTCTTTTGGGCTGGTCCCATTCTCACCCAGGTTTCCCCCAGATAGTAGTAAAATAGATGCAGAGAAAAAGTAAGATCTTTTTCCCAGCAGTTTCGGGAACAAGCCTTACTGCATCTAATTGGCTCTAAATGGAACACTCATGTTCTTCCTAGAACTAATTGCTACAGCCAGGGGACACTGGTTGGCTGAAGCCTCTGTACCTGTTGGCCTAAGTGGAAGTTCTCAGCATTCAGTTATCAAGGGAGAATAAATGGATACTGGGTAAAAACAAAACCAACAGCAGCAACATACAAATGTTACACACACACCCACCCCCGCTATAAGCTCCTTGGAAATGTAATCTATTATTAAAATCTGTAGCCCCTACTCTGGAACATGAAATATTAATGCAATTGAGTGCAATAAATAAAACCATGCACTAGAAGTCTGAATATCTGCAGGACTCTGGGCCTGTAGTGACCTCTCTGAACTTCAGTTTCATTATCTACGTGTAGACATGTTAATAATACCCAATAATTCCATGAGGAATGACTAAGCCTAGGTCATAATGCCATCTAAGATAAATAATATAGAACGGAAACATGTTAGAATAAACTAGTAAATATCTTTTATTGAACTGTATACTGAAGTCTGTGAGAAATAGATAAAAGAAAAAAAGCCATCCACACTTTAGAAAATGAAATGACTAATTTATAATCTTTATTAGAAATTTGAGATTCATGTCAAATTTGGTCATAGAGGGGGAAAACATAGAAAAACCATGTCTTAGATATTCACTTAAGCTTTTAAAGCTATTAAATGCATTCTAAAATTTGCTTCTCTTATCAGTGGGGATTGAGGATGTTTACAGGTAGAGGTGGATACTTAATTCTGTTTTACCTAAGCTGGTGTCCACCCAGACGGTATTTTCAGTCTTTGCTTGTTGAAAGTACTTGAGATTTATCTCTCTGCTAAGTCTGCCCCTGGCCAAAAAAATTTTTTTTGTTAATATATAAAAATTTATATTAATTTGAAAACCAAGTTTGATTAGAGTTAAAAGAAAGAACATTTGTTTTGAATTTCTGACAATATTTAATGTCACAATTAGTAATAATCTTATAAGGTGTGATAATTAAGGTTCAATCTGCCCCTCTCCTTTCTAATATACTGAAGTCAGAGGTTTCAGGGTAATTAGCTATTTGGTAGTCGTTTGGGAGATGAGCAACGGGGGTAGACAAGTTTTGGAAATTAAGCTATCTCTCAGGTTAAAGATCCCTTCTGTCTGCTGATTGATCAGACTATTTTATCAGACTACGTTTTATTCAAAAAGGGGTTCTGAAAAAGAAAAAAAAGAGGTATAAAATATAGGAACTTTCGTTTATGCCAGACATTTAAAATCTGAGATAGTGTCCTATTCATATATTCTAGACTTGTCATGCTTCATGGTTCTGCCTGTTTAAGTTAGCAGCATCACTGCTAGCCTGTGGAGTATCCTTATGTAAAGTAGAAAAAGCAGCCACTCTGGACCATCAGAGCCACTGGGTGATGGAAGCGTGGGGCGAGGGTTCAGCTTCTTAAAAGAATGCTTTGGGGAAATGTTATTTAATCTTTTCCTGATTCCTTAAAAGGGTGCCTTGAAATACGCTGCGGAAGGTATTAGAATACATGGTTATTGGGCGCCTGGGTGGCTCAGTTGGTTAAGCGACTGCCTTCGGCTCAGGTCATGATCCTGGAGTCCCGGGATCGAGTCCCGCATCGGGCTC